TCTTTCCCCGTGCGTTCCATTTCCATGTGTTGAGAGCACAAGCTGCTGCCTCTGACTAATCTATTCTATTAATACTCATTGAGCAACTATTCAAAATATGCTCAGGTCTTGGAGATCAAGCCACAGCCAACAAACAGCACCCTTCTCTGGCCCTCTTCAATCCTTTCGGATTGGAAAGGGTATTGCATTAATTAAACTGGACAATTTCTTTTCACTTGGAAGCAAAAGAGAATATCAGATGACAATGAAACGCTAGGTGGGCCTCAAAAGTGTATAAAGATGTCAACAGTGCTATAAATGAACTGAAAAATATAACTTTTCAATTTAACAGTTTACTGCACAAAACATCCTCCCTATGAACGCATAAATACATCTGAACATGATAAAACTACTAACAAAGAGGATATAATGGCCTTTTGAGAACAGTACCACAACAAATGTGTAGTTATCACCCATATCATTTAGAAGGCCCAGATGTCTTTCCTGAAGATACAACACCTGCTGTGGAGTGTTTCATTCAGAAAAGCATGTTGCTGCTTTGCTGCTGCTGAGAAAATGTGGTTTCCACTCACACCCCCAATGACAGCGTCAGTGGTGACAGCTGATGCTGTGCAAGTAAAGTGTGTCTTTAGTAGTATCACAATCACCCATCACATATTGTCATTTTATTAATGATCACCACAACCCCAAATATCCACACTATTATGTGAACTTTTAAAAGGTTTTTTAAACTTCTCCTCTCCCCCCATAGAGGTGAAGATTTCCTCCCCCTTTTTTGGCCCTTAGTCATCCAACAGCTGAAATGCAACCCCCTAGCTATGTGTTGTGGTCTGCCAGGTTCTTGTCAAATCACACATTTGACTACCTGGGCAGCAAAAGTAGAGATTTATCCATCCCTTAGCAAACCAAAATATATAGTTTAGTCACAGGTTGTGCAAGCCTCTTATACTACAAACACACTCTAGTACAGGGGTAGGCAACCTTTCCCCTTTAAGGGCCGAAGAACGTCAGCTCCCATAATCCCAGGAGCTATTGGCCAACATGCCTGAGGCTTCTGGGAGCTTTGAAAATATTTTTTCCAAGGAAGATGAAACAAATCTACGGTAATACTGAACTGACAAGACTAAGGGCCTTTGCAGACTGCCAGAAATAATGCACATCAAATTGAGGCACTGCCCTGGCTCAGTGCTAGGGAATCATGGAAACTGTAATTTATTGTGGCACCAGAGCTCTCTGACAGAGAAGGCTCAATGTCTCAGAAAAAAACTACAGTTCCCATGATTCCTTAGCACTGAGCCAGGGCAGTGTCTCAATTTAATGTGCACTATTTCTGGCAGTCTGCAAAGGCCCTAAATCCTATTGTTAGTCTTGCCTAGAGTACTGCCATTGAATCAATTGGATTTGCCTATGTGTTGACTCATCATTCAACAATCAATTGGATCTACTCTAGTTGACACAAATCAAGATGACTCCAGCTATGATCTCCTGAATACTGTAGATTGTTTCCAGCTTTTTCTCATAGTACAAAACCACATGTGTGACCATTTTTAAGAATTTAGGCATCATCAACAACAACAACAAAGATTTAAAAAACTTGTTTCCTTCTTAGTTCCACATGGAGATTGTTTACACAGATGTATAGATGCTGTTACTCACGTAAAGCCAATTCTGCCTAATGTACTATTGTTCAGCATCTTGAACTGCACTGAGAAAAAGGATTGACCATGCCACAGGAGTTTTCAGTAGATAATGTTAGGTAGGTGAGGAAAGCAATTTACTTTTCTTTTACAGTTTTCAGCTTTTCTATTACATTGCAGTATCTTCCATATTTCTTTTGAACACAATTTAGACAGCAAAGTGCAGTCCTCCAAATGTGGATGGATTTCCCATCAAGCCTAACCAGCTGCAAATCCCATCAACTCTAGTCAGAACAGCCAATGTTAAGGAATGGTGAGTGCTGCAGTCTGCAAAACTGCACTTTGCCCACAACTGCTCTAGAGCCTAATTAGCCTCTATATGCACTCTTGAGACTGAGCTACATTGCTACCAACTGTATCCACAGCTGGCAAAGAAAAGTCAAGCACCTCCAGTGAAGATTAGCTGCAAAATTAGTGGGGAGATCCATTAGTGGGGCATTAACCCCATGACGGTGCTATGACATGGTGAATGAAAGCAAACAAGAAACAGCCTCCTGCTCTTCCACTCTGGAGCTTACTCTCTGGAGAGGTGAAGGTTAAGAAAATTCAGTCTGCCAAAGCTCATGTGCATTATGTTCCCTACCATTAGGCAAAGTGAAGCAACTGCCTATGGCAGCAGATGTTGAGAGGAAGGAAGAGCCATCCCTTAGCTATTTCTTCCAACTACACTGGCCATTTTCTTCTCTTGGAGTTCAGAACTGTGGATGTCACACAGCCTGCCCTATCCTAGTACTTCAGCCAGGAATCCACCTTCATAACCCCTCCTCTTCACTACAGGAGAAAGTAATTTGTAAATTACACTAATTTGCATTTTAATTATGGAAATTCAGCACATTAATTCCTACATGTTTTTTCTTTCACCATGTTTCAGCCTTCATAATATTATATTAAAGTTACAATTGCTCTGAATGAACCAGTAAAAAGTAATGTTTAAAGTTCTGGACTTGGAATAAGCAGACCCAAGTTCAAATCTCTTTCCCAGCCCCAGAATTTAACATGTGCCACTGGACCACCACCTCTCTGGTCCCTCTCTTGCTTCTTGCACTCTGGCCACTCACATTGCTCCCTCTCCCTTCCCGTGTACTCACTCACTCATTCATTTCACTTTATACTCTTGTAATGCATTCTTCTCCTGCTTCTTTCACCACTCACTCTCCTTTCCAATGGTGTCAGCTTTTGTCAGAAATAAAAAAGTCATAGGAAGATTGGGATTTTTGCATCTATCACTCAACCCACATTAATTCCAGTAAGCATGCATCTGTTGAGAACTGTGTTCCATTAAGACAGAGTAAAATAGTTTGTATGGCTGTAACTGAGAAGTAACACCAGGTTTCAATTCTTAGTCATCAGCACTGTATATAAGTGCTCTAAAACCCAGGGCAGGTGTGGGTTGATGAGAGAGCAGTTGTGGTTGGTTGTAGAGAGTGCATTGCTGTATATCAGATAGTGAATGTTGGAGAGAGTTAGTATATAACTTGTACATATTGCAACAAGTGATAAACGTCTCCAAGGACTTTGGAAGAATCCAACTGTATTTGTGCATCATTCAAGATTGGTCAATGCAATATTGCCAGATACTATAAACTGAGTTTGTGTTTCTGCATTCTGCTGCAAATAGCTACTGTTAAGGTCTAGCACCTCAGATAGTGCTAATGGTTGGCTTTTCTAGTGGTCCTAGCTTTTGTTTTTGTTGCTGCACGCCTGCAGGATGTAGAAGAGGGCGAACAGCATCACCTTCCTTAATTTGGATTAAAGTACAGCTATTCATTAGGGAGAAGTAAAATCTATCAAACAATAAAGATGAAAGAAATAAAGGAGACACCACATATTAGGTATATATTGTTTTACCTTTTAATGTTAACTCAATGGGTGTACAGGAATGCATAGGAAAAACGAACCACACAGTCTAATCTGAAACTGGGATGGGACAAGAATTCTGGTGGGATTCTTGGAAATGCAAAATTAGGCAGGTAGATTTTCAGATCCCTGCCCAGCATTTCTTAAAACCAGCCCTAGGACAACTTCAATCAAACTGGGGAAGGGGAAGTTATGGTATGCAAGTAAGGTAATTAACCTGTCATCTTCATCATTTTTCTATACAGCATTTCTCTCCAACCTTCTAATATAGCTTCTAAGGGCTGTAGATAAACCTAAATGTATTACTCCACCACCATACATACATCCCTTCTAAGCTTTGGTAGGGATGGATTAAGAAGATGTAATCCCCATAATTCTTTAAAGGAAGTTATTACATTGAAAGCCAGAACTCAGAATATAGGCTGCCACCTTGTTCAGTAGTTACAAGAGTGTAAGCCAGACATACAATCTCATAACTTTTTTTATTCACATTTAGTTTTTAACACATCCCGAAAGACCAGAGCAGGCAGCAATTCTTAGCCCCCCTACCCTTCTGCAGCACCTTGGAAACCCTCCATCTGCCTGGTTGAAAAGGTATCCTTTAAGACAAGGCTCCAATTTCATCATAGTGACATCTGGCAAAACAGGATCTTGGCCACTGTTTGTAAATAAGTAACTCCAAGCCCAGGCACAAGAGAAATTGTCAGTTACCCTTATAATTTGTTGTTGTTGTTGTTGTTGTGTGCTTAAAGTCTTTTTCGACTTATGGTGACCCTAAGGCAACCCTATCACAGGGTTTTCTTGGCAAGTTTCTTCAGAGGGGGTTTGGCATTGCCATCCTGTAAGACTTATCACACGGGAGTAAGAAACACTAGAGAAGCACCTTGCTCCCGTCATTATTGTGCGATCGGGGAATAACAAGATTTTCACACGACATCATTCACATACCATTCTTGTAACATCATGGAAGTGTTGTGCTAGTGCAACATCTCAATGACGATCAAAAAGCATCAATGGCTTGCCATTAGCACTATTGCAAATGTGTGAAAGGCAACCACATTTCAATAGGGCTATTGAGAATCCGTCATTAAACCTTATGGCAATAAATTGAATCCCCCAGTCTCCCAGTATGTCTGTTTGCCAGAATCACTTCCTGTGTCGTGGTTGTGAATCACCAGAGAGTTCCTTAGCAGTGAGAGAAGACCCATTTTTCGCCTTCAATCACAACCCCTTGTGCCAATATGTGGAATGTAAAAGCGCTGTTTTACTGCTTGTGAATCATTAATGCCCTGTTATTGCGACCCATGTGAAAGTAAGTGTTTTAATATCACCATTGTATCGTTCTTGCTAAATAATGTTAGAATAGTGCTATTAAAGTATAAATAGCCCACATGTGATAATCTTCTGAGAGAGTGTGACTTGCCCAAGGTCACCCAGTAGATTTCATGGTTGAGCTGGGATTTGAACCCTGGCCTCCAGAGTCATAGTCCAACACTAAACCACTACACCACATTGGCGCTCTACCCTTATAATTATGCTTTTTAAAAAGCAACTCTTTGCTTTCTTGTCATTAGTTCTTTTTTAATTAGCTTTAAAAAAATAGAAAAACTGGTAATCTCTTTCCTGTGGTACAATACATGGCAACATACGGAGCCCATCTCCCCTGTAACTATAAATATCACTATAATAGTTGTAGTTGCACCACAAAAGTGTTTCGAGTATGACGTAACTTGCTTCCCTCAGCTACTGAAAACTTGAATTAATTACAGAAAACATATTATTTGTAACTAGTATTTAGAACAGAAAGAAGATTAAGAATGGGGAGAGTAGCTATGAAAGAACTAGAAAAGAATGCAAATTTATACAAGGTAAAGCTAAAGGTATTCCCCACTGACAAAGTTGTCAGGTTGTGTCTGTCCATGGGGGACAGTGCTCATACTGCTGTTTACCTTCCCACCAAATTGGTACCTATCTACTTGCATTTGCATGCTTTCAAACTGCTAGGTTGGCAGAAGCTGGGACTAGTGACAGGAGCTCACCCCATCATGCAGTACCTGGGCCTCAAACTGCCAACCTGCTGGTCTTGCAATCAACAGAGTCAGCGTCTTAACCAGTTGAGCTACTGCATCCCTAAAGATACACAACTGAGCACAAAAGTTAGAATCATACAAACCACCGTATTTCCTATTACCATGTATAGATGTGAGAGCTGGACAGTTAAGAAAGATGATAGGAAGAAAATCCATTCCTTTGAGATGTGGTGCTAGAGAAGAGTACTGAGGATCCCATGGACAGCCAAAAAGACAAACAAGTGGGTCCTAGAGCAGATCAAGCTGGAAACCTCCCTGGAAACCAAAATGACCAAACTGAGGCTATTGTACTTTGGACACATCATGAGAAGGAAGAATTCATTAGAAAAGACAATAATTCTGGGAAAGGTGGAGGGAAATGGGAAGAGAGGAAGGCCACATGCCAAATGGATGGACTCTCTTAAGGAGGTCACAGGTATTAAGGGGTTGCAGGAAAAGCAGAGTAGTGAAAGTAGGGTCTTGGAGATGTCTCATCCATAGGGTCGCCATGAGTCAAGATCAACTCGAGGGCAGTTAACAACAAAATTTAGAACAAAATAAGCAATGTTCTGAACTGTGACTTTCTGGCCCAGGTCTTTCTAGGGCACTGAAAGGACATTTAAACTTCAACATATAGTTTAAGATGCAGAGGGATTTAGCTTTTTTGTGCAATGTGCTGTCTCAGAACTATCAAAGTTGTTAGGATGTACAATCCTGGTTCCCTGAGCTACTGGGTAGTTCCCATTTTTACCTTTGGAGGGACAGAAGGGGACAAGCTGGTTGCCACTGTCCTCAGCTGCAATAGGTATCTCTGGAGCTGGCCTAGCCACACTGGGAGTGTCGCACAATCACAAAAACATGGCCTGGGTGTTTTTAAGGTGTTCATAGCAATTTGACATATGTGGCAATTTGTGAAAAACATATTTCATTTTTTTTAAATCACCATGTATTGTATAACATTATTTTTACTCTCACCTTACTATTCCTTTACCCAAGTTGGACATTATCTCTCTGTCTACCTATGCTAAATCCACTGCATTGATTCCTTTTGATAAATTTACTCCATGACACATTTATGGAAATCTAAGAATTCCACACCAAAGAGTTTGAACTATTGCAGATGAGGAGGCTGTATGAGCTGCAGTTATAATTAGGCGTCACTGTTCATTGTAATCCTCAGGACGTCATCAAGCATTACCAGCAACTGTTGACAGACTTCATACCATGCATATCCTGAAATGGCAAGTCTGAAGAGGGCAGCCCACAATAGAAACAATGGCATTTATTTTCGTCCTGTTCCAAGATTGTCTCATAGAACATGCATGCTAGCCAACTGCCTGGCTTGGCCAGAGATCACTGTTCTATATTATATTACTAGTTTGAACAAAGCTCGGCAACCATGTAGTTAGAATCTTCCAGCCGTATACATGGACATCAGGAATGTACTTTGTGAAACTTATTTTAGCTATGGAGAAGAGACTGACACCTTCAGATCGTTCCAAATCCATCAATCCTGCTGAGAGACTATGTTGCTGCCCAGAACAAAATGCCAGACTTATTTCCAATCCAGGGAAGAAGAATGCTCTTCTATCAGATGTTATTTTTAGACATGTCTGTCAATTTAACATTTGTTTCAAAATGCTCAGGACAAAGTAAAATAATAAATGTTGATACCCATTAGCCACTGCCGCTCTACAACCTTCATTCACATCAATAGGGCATTCTGAGATTTTCTAAAGAAATGTAATTGAAATGAATGGCCTGCCCCATAGCACTGATTCAGAGATTATTTGTTTTTTTTTGCATCTTGTAACATTAGCTCTTTTTGCAACATACTGGTTAATTAGAGAAATAAAACACCACCTGCTCATGAAACCTGGGGACTATAAAAGTAAGCTACATTTTCTCTTACCCCATACACAAATTATAGGAATACTTTCATGATATGGAACCTTTTTTGCAGCATACAAACTCTTTGTTTTTAAAAACAAGAAATACCTTGTTAATTCTCATAAATTCAGAATAAGGGCCAATTAAAGCACTATGAATCAAGGTGCACAATGTCCCACTTCCAAGAAGTGCAATTCAACTTCTGTACTTTTGTACTCTTTGCACTCATTTAAAGGGGGCTTGTGATGTACCACATGCACTAAAGCATGGTGAGTGTCACAAAAGGAATGATAAAAGTGGGAATGGTTGCTACAGCTGGTTAATAAAATCTTGTAGAGAGCACTGAAAATAAAAGTTAGTATTTCAATGTATTGCAGTTTATTTATATAGTGTTGTAGATTTACACAAATATTTTCACAGGGCACAAGATATTCACCTTATATTAGGAGGAAAGAGGATCCAGAGGATACTTTTATCAGCTATCTGCCACCTAATCAACTGAGTCCTATCTAAATTGGGGTGACAAATGTTGGTGATGTGATAACTACAAAGCTGATTTCATGCATCCTAGGTGGGAATGTCAGTGTATTAAATGTATGTGCACCTTCTCATTGTTACACTTCTAACTGGGAGCTTCTGTCCATTCTGCTTAGTTGTGTAGATGTACAGATAGATTCTATACTCCAAATAATGGTTCAAAATCTATTCAAAATCAAAATCTAATCTGGGGTTCTGACTGCAAGAATGTGACAGAGATTTGAAGAAATCATTGCAGAAAGTTAGAAACACTATATAGATGACAAAGCAGGTTCATTTAACAGATTTTTTTCCCTAATGCATGGTACTTTTTCACTGGTTTTTGAGGGCTAGATATAACTTTTATATGAATAGATATTGCTGCTTTTCCATGTTCTAATCAGCTTAATGGATTTTTTCCTTTTCTTTTTAATCGTTTTAATGGCTAATACTCATACTCATTTTATATTAATATTTTACTTGTTTAAATTGTTCATTTTCAATTCAAAACTTTGTTAAAAAGCAGTGTGAATAATGTCTGCTGTGTCAGGATAAGATAAGGATGCACTGATTCACATCCCGACTCTGCTACGAAGGTCACTCTGTGAACTTCAATTTATCACTTTCTCTGTCAGCCAAACCTACCTCACAAGGTTCTTTTCAGGATAAATAGGACTGATATTGAACCATGCAAGCTGCCTTGAGCTCTCTACAAAAGATAGGAAAGAATTGTCATGAAAAAGAAACTACTGTACCTCCTTCCACAACTTATTTAATGAAATTGTATTTTTAAAATGTATAATCACAACTAGAATTGTGATGCACATATGCTGGAAAAAAGTTTTTAGCTCTGCATTTCATGTCATGGTTCCAACAAAATCCAACCAACCCACCTCCACCTATTTGTTATGAGACAAATTTGTTGCTATTTTTCAAGGAGAGAAACTGCTATTGATGCTATGGTTATTACCAATGGAAGCTCTCTCCAACAGCAAAAAATGGAAAAAGAAGAGTCTTTTAAAAAAAACAAAACACCTTCCTAGCCTACTATCATTTCAGTCTTGATCAAACCCTTCCATATGGCTGCCAATTTTTTAAACACACACACACCAGAAATAAAATCACATGCTGAATGTAATATGTAGTTTGGCCTCTATGTTCAATTTCAATTGGATGCATTTTACTGAATCATTTTTTAACAAGGGCATGCATTTTTACAATGCTTGCAGCCATTTATAGTCCTGTTGGGTCAAAGAAAACCAATGGTGTAGCTACAGGAGGGAGAGAAGGTCCCACAAAAGAATTTTCCCCCCCCCATGACATTTTTCCTTCAGTGCCCAAAGTTATACCATTCCAGAGAGTGACAATGTAAATTGTTCACACCTATGACTGTTATGTTTGCTGTCTTCACAGTCCCTTTTCTTTGGATGCCTAAATTATATTTCTAAATGCTCAACTGAAGTTACAGCAATGTTAGAAATTTAGCAACTGAAGGGAAATTAAATGGAAGGGGCACAAGATTCTTAAAAGAGGCAAATAATTCCCCTCCCACCCCCAAATAGCTATATCCCTGAACAAAATCCTAAATGTCTTGTAGCTGTTATATTATTGGAATATCTTTAAAAGCCTGCATTATTAATGGCTTTTACCCTATGCTCAGAGCAAGATAAATTTTCATAATGCTCATAGAACAGATACATCTAGTACAGAGATTTTATATATAATTTAAGTAAAAGAAGGTGGTGCTTCACCTGTTATGTACCTCTCTTAGCTTCAGTTTACATACCTCTGAAATTGTAGTGAATAATGTGGATTGATGGGATGTGTCTGAGCATGTTGGTAAAGTCCCAAAATTTGTGCTATTGTTCATGGACTCTTGTGAAACTTTATATGGATATTTTCAAATGGAGTAATCTAACATATATGAACACTAAACAAATGGGACTTGGATACCTGGTGAAAACAAGCAAATAGTTGGTCATATGTTCAGCCTCTTTTTAATCAATTTACATTTCAGCACACATTTTCAGGGTCATCTCAAT